TTTTTTGTCCGATTCATCGATTAATCGAAAAAATAATCGGCCGATTCATCGATTTTTAAAATAATCTTTAGTTGCAGCCCTAATATATATATATATATATATATATATATATATATATTAGGGGTAAAAGTATTTTCAAATTACTGCGGGTACTATATACAATAAGGAAAATTTGTATTTTAACACGCTGCTATTTTTCAAGTTCTCCCACTTAGAAATCATGGAGGGGTCTGAAATTGTCATCGTAGGTGCATGTCCACTGTGAAAGACATAATCTAAAAAAAAATCCGAAGATCACAATATATGATTTTTTTAACTATTTATTTGTATGATACAGCTGCAAATAAGTATTTGAACACCTGAGAAAATCAATTCCAGAGGTCCTGTAGTTTTTAGCCAGTTTTCCACACTGTTGGAGGGATGTTGGCCCACTCTTGAAACTAATTATTTTGATGGTTTTTATTTTTTAAAATACCAACAGGCCGTAATGAAAATTAACTTAATAAAACAAAACTAACGAGAGTAGAAAGTAAAAAGTTGTCTAAAAAAAGAATTACTCCAGTAAAGTATAGATAGACAACATTTCCACATAAGTAAAGTAACAAAGTATTTGTACTTTACTACTCTGATAATAAATATCACACAACTGAAGGTGCTTTAAAACAATTTGGATAAATTAGGACTAAAATAAACAGAATTGTTAAACTGTCATTACAAGGAAACTTCCTGTTGAAAATATCAAAATAAAAGCCCTCCTGTTCTGTTCATTAAGAAAGTTAAAGTTATAGTGGAGGATGTTGTTTTTCCGGGTGGATTATTTAAATAAATGGTCCTCCTAACTGTCAATCATTCTGTCATGTTTACGTAAGGCTGTCCTACGTGCTCATTCCCATTTTCACTAATCGATGGTGAGTCTGACATACCATTTACCATTTAGTGGAGAAATTGCAAATCTTATTTTGGAAAATAAGCTTTTTTTTTTAAGTGGAGAGGGCGGGTCTTTTAAAAAATTTGCTAAAAATTCTCCACTATGCCTTTAACACTCATTTACACTTTACTTCGTTGTTATGTTGGAAATGACACCCTAATGTGAAGATCTTTACTGTTCTTAACTGAGAATAAAGGTTTTTATTAAAAGCTCTTCTGCTTAGAATGAGAAGAAATCCTATCTATCATATTTAGTGTCAAATTAAACAAAATCAATTAATTAAAAGCTTTTTTTTGTCCAATAGAGGACAGGCTGGGATCTGAGAATGAAGTGTTGGTTTATCCACGTTTCCATCTGTCTTCCAGCTACGTCATGATGATGCCCTTCAAGCGGCAGGCCCTGGTGGAGTTCTCCTCAGCAGAGGGTGCTGATCGCTGCGTGTCCTGTGGAACCAAGGAGCCGGTGTACATCGCAGGTTCGGGAAGCTCAGTCTTTCCTGTCATTGTTCAGTTTATTGTCTAATTAGTAAACAGAACATAAATTATGTTCTTTGATAGTACCGGGTCGAACCTACCAATCAGACAATTTAGACCATTTCTCCACAAGCTGGTTCAGGTTTGGGATGTTGGAGCATTTAGTCTGAAGGGCTGTCCATGTTACGACTGGATGATGGAGAGAGTCCACCTTTAAGGCCCTGGTCTACTAAAGGCTGTGTGTATAAAACTAAGCCTCAGATGCTCAGAAAAGCATGACACGCTGCTCCTGCTGCTCAAAAGCACTGCGGGACCTTTTGCTACAACAAGATGCGCGTCAACCATTCACTTTGCATGCTAGCTGCTTCTGCTGCCTTGCTAATTTAGGTGTGACCGTAGCATTAAAGTGGCTGCAACCATTCTGTATTTTAAAAAACAAGAATAATAATAATTAAACAGATAATCTCTTATCAAAGTGAAAGTCAAATGTTTATTATATTATGAAACAAACAGTTCCTCTCTGTGTCCCTTTGTCTCCTGCAGCCAGTTTTTATTTCTTCTTTCTTATTAAAATTATACATTTTTTGTTGTTTTATCGAAGGGGGGAAAATCTGTAAAATGATCACCAGATATTCTCTGTATCAAACATATCGGCTGTTAGACCTCCACTAGTTGGGACTGTAAAACGATCTAGAAACTGCTCCACCATGTTTGTTTCTCCAAGTCTTCTCCTGATTACTTGTTAATTTCACATGAACAGAGAAGGACCTTTGTCCTCTCCCGGTCCACACAGTGACCCAACCTGCTGTCTGTGTGCAGTTTCCTTTGGAACACAGAACATAAATCCATTCGGCCTCCAATTCTGGTGACGGCATCATAAAAACCCTTATTTAAACAAATGGTCTGCACCTTTTTGCACCTGTTTTCAGTCGTAGTAAATCACCTGCAGCAAAGCCACAAACTGATGATTTGTTTTTATCAACCCGGCCTTCATATGTTGGACCTTACCAGTAGATCAGGGTCATAGCTCCTTCAGCAAAGCTCAGCAGGTTTTCAACCGTCTCACAGTCTGTTTTCTTTGTACTGAAAATCTGATCCTTCTGTTGTAACACAGCAGGAAAAAACAGCCTTCAGTGTGTGGATCGCTGGGATATAAAATGGTGCGGAAGCCCAGATTCCAGCAGGCCACGTCCTCCACCAGCTGCATGTTAGACCAGAACCCGTCTTCTCTTGGGTCCCGCTGTTCTGATGTGTTGGTGTTCTCACTGATCTGTTCACCAGGACAGCAGGCTTACTTCAATTACTCCACGTCAAAGAGGATCACCAGACCAACAAACGCTGACAACCCAAACAGCGGCAACAAGGTCCTCCTGCTCTCCATCCAGAACCCGCTCTACCCTATAACTACGGTAACCACACTCACCCACTGTCCACCGAAACACAGCCACCTCTGACCTCTGATGCTACATAGCTGCTCCTCCAGGAACATCTGGGTGGCTTGAACCTGTCCCCCAGATTGTCTCATGACCAGCCTCTGGACTGGCCTTAGGCTTAGATAAACTTTCAATTCAATTCTGCAGAGTGGGAGAATAGAGATAGAATGATGAAAAATCGGTCCCTATGTCCTCCAGCAGTCTAAGCCTATAGCAGCATAACTATAGAGCTAGCTCAGGATAACCTGAGCCACTCTAACTAGAAGCTTTATCATTAAGGAAAGTTTTAAGAAGTTTTCAGGTAGGAGATAAAGGTTGTTCCTCAGTTTTCCTCCTTAAAAACATCTCATACAAACCAGGCTTTTATTCTGCTGCTGGTTGAAAGTCACATTAAAAATGTTGAATGTTAGCTTAATCTTGCATGTTGCCATAGTGATGCTTTGCTGCCTTTCTAAAATAGAATTAGTGATTTTCTGGATGAGCTGCAGCAGGTCCTAGCTCAGCTTCAGATACCAGCGTGCCTCCTGGTGGTCACCAGGGATTCACCATCATTCATATCCAGGTTTACTCGTCTGTGGCTGCTGTTGGGTTAAGTCTTACGGTCTGTAATATTTATCAATGGTTTGTTTTTTTCTATTCTTTGGTTTCTATGAACAAAGTCCACAGTAATGCCACAGATTCTCTGCTTCAAGTTTTTACCCACAATCCTGTGCTGCATCACTAGCACATACCCAACCCATGACCAGTAAAGGTGGACTGTTAGGACCGGCCCATTTTACCTGTGGAACCGATTGATATATTTAAAAGAGTCCAAGATGAAGTGATTTGAAGCTGATATGCCGTTAATCCTCAGCTTTTCCTTTTGGTTGGTAGTTTCAGGCAGTCGTGATGCCCCCTGGGGCCCGATGTGAGAACTGTACGGTTCCCACGAGGTCTGAAAAAGCTGTACCTCCATCTGCATCTGACAGGAACCACACCTCTTCCAGACTAATACGAGGGTCCTTTCTGCCTCTCAGATCCCAGTTCAAATGAATGTCCTGCTTCTGAACTGAATCTAGTTGAGGTAACTAACAGAACATGGAGGCGTTGGCCCTGGATGATAGAGGATACCTGAAACCGGCAATGTAGTTGGTATAATGGCTGAGGAATCGCAGTGAATAAAGCAGCAAGGCTGAGAGGTTTGGTTCAGAGTGTCCCTCCCAGGTCCGGTGAGTCAGAGGGACGGGTTCAGACCTGTCCCCAGGTCTCCTCTAATTCACCCACAGCAAACATAGACGCCTCATTTATGGATCATAGTGTATCTGCTACGGTCCAGATGTTTCCTTTGTCTCAGAGCTGCAGGCCGAAGCTGAACTCATAGAGGAATGTCAGCCTGAGAATAGCCATTAACCTAGACACCATCCATCCATCATCCATCCATCCATCCGTCCATCCATCCATCCATCCATCCAGAGTTCTGCAGTTGGACCTTAAACAGGACGCTGACGATGAAGCAGACCTCCTCCATGTTTTTGCTTCTAATTTAATTAGCAGATTTTCTCTTCAGCGATGAAACAGACTCATCCCGATCAGAACCTAATAACTACAATACTCCGTATCTCCACTCGCCTTTAAGCGTACTAGCGCCACCTACAGGGCAGGAGGAAGACCGTTGGTGTCTCTCCTTAAATTGAGAGTGGGATAAGAAAAACAGCAGAGGTCAGAACTCCAGTCACATGACTTGGACTCCATTCATTTTCTGACCTTTGATGGGGCTTCAAAAATGTGTGACTGTTTTAGACTCTTATTGAATTTATACTCAAACCTGTTTATTTAAAAACTTGATTTTTACCCAAAACTAACATTTAAAAGATGGATTATTTAAAAAGTGCGTAGCGTTATTTTATACCGTCATTCCATATTAACAAACAAAGACCACCGTTTTCTTTACACGCCTTGTGTGGGCTTGAGCTGCAGCTCCATGTAACAATAATTAGATTTAGAAAGAGACAAAACACAAAAATAAACCCCAAACATAATTTAAAAACTTCAAAGTACTCAACAGAAAACAAAATGAAAGAATCAAACCATGCAAGAGAATCTCAGATGGAGACAGAGGCTGATATTTCAACAGAGGTGTTTAAAGTAGCCAGAAATTGCATTGATTCAAACAGTCAATCTAAAGAGTAGCCTGAAAATGAATATTTCTCTGATTAAACTGATAGTGGAGGTCAAAGGTTACGCAGCGATGCTTTAATGTTTTGTTTTACTGTTAGGCTCCTTATTGTCTCAGTGATCTGCTGTGATTGGAGTTGAGACAGAAATATGTCTGTGTTTCTCCTCAGGACGTCCTCTACACAGTCTGTAACCCCATCGGCAGCGTGCTGAGGATCGTCATCTTCAAGAGGAATGGGATCCAGGCCATGGTTGAGTATCCTTTCTCCTCTGTGGAACCTCTGTGACAGCAGGACCGGCTCTAATCCTAAAGCCGCTCCTTGCCTCAGACTCCACCCGTCTGAGTCACAGCTCTTCATCCTTTTATTTAAACCAAACCTTCTGGAAAATTTTCCTTCCCTGGGGGGAATCCCAGGCTCTCTGGTGGTTTGGTCATGTTGGTTGTATTTAAACACGAGTGTAAGTTTGATGTGCCTCTCTGTGGACTGCTGTGTATTTTGTCTTCCTTAATGTGATTCCTTCAGGTTTGAGTCCATTCAGTGCGCCCAGAAGGCCAAAGCAGCTCTAAATGGAGCTGACATTTATGCCGGCTGCTGTACGCTCAAGATCGAGTATGCCAGGGTAAGAACCAGAATCCACAATAGTGTCTTCCTACTCCACATAGTTCTCCCTAACAGGGACTGAAGCTGCGACTCATAGAGATCAACTGATCAGGCTTCTGCCGCTGTTCTATCAGATGAGCATACCCGGTCAGACCAGCATACCCATAGTCAACACAGTTTATCCCTTTAGTTTTGTTTGAAAAATAAACTTTAAACTACCTCGATTGGCGTGTATCCCTTTAGTCATGTACAAAAAAACTATTTAATTACTCACTTTTTGGTGTTTTTAGAAGGGTATGGCGATCTGACCTTAAATTGTTTTTTTGAACATGACTAAAGGTTAGTTTAAATGATATTTTTTGTGCAAAACTAAAGGAATTAACGCAAATATGACATGTTTAGCATGCAGATTTAATATGGGTATGCTGATCTGACAGAACACCTTAATCAGAGCAGTTAAATAAGATGATTTTCCAATGGAATGAGTATTTTTACACTTAAAATAAGATAAGTAGACAATATGCACTTGAAATAAGACAAGTCAGTTGTTTTTTCTTATTTTAAATGTAAATTGTCTTGTTCCATTGGTAAAGTGTCTCACGCACCTCAAGAAAAGATTGACCTATTTTAAGAAAAAATGACTTAATTTAGATTTCGGTATTTTCCAGTTCGTTCGCAATGCTGTCCTTTTGTTTCTATTAACCCATAAAGGCCATTAAATTTCACGCTGTCAGTCTTTGCATTAATGTGGAGCAACATTGGTGCCATAAATATTTGTTTTCAATTGTGATTTAACTATCTAAAACTATTTTAATAACATGAAAGAAATTAACCACATAGAGAAAGGTTTAAAAATGAGGAAAAAAATGAAAAGACAGATGTTTTCGGTTTATTCATTTTTACAGTCCATATCATCCAAGCCCCGCCCCCATGCCGAGGGGCCAGCAGTTTGAAACTACAACAAAAATCTGAAGCGTTGTGCTGCTGCAGCTTCTGGCTTCCCTGGCAGGAAGTGAGCTGCTATTCTTTAGCAGAACACAGTTTTCATGCTGCTCCACCAGTTCAGGGGCTGGGATGGGGTCGGTGGTCATGCAGCTCCTGTTTGTGACGTTCTGCTTCCTGAACATGTCTCTTTTCTGTGTACACAGCCAACACGTCTCAACGTGATCAAGAACGACAACGAGAGTTGGGACTACACCAAACCCTACCTGGTCAGACGAGGTGAGAGCAGCCGGTCTTCCTCCTGCCTGGTTGGATGTGCTCTCTCCATCTTCTGACATCGGAACTGGCTTGGAGCTGTCTGGTTGTGTGTTCCTGGAAGGGGCCGCCATTTAAAGTTGCTTTTTGTAGCTCTGCTTCTGTCTCATTGAACCCCAGTCGCCCTCAGCAGATGGCCGCTCACACTGAGCCTGGTTCTGCTGGAGGTTTCTTCCTGTTAAAAGGGAGTTTTTTTCTCTCCACTGTCGCTACAAGCATGCTTAGTGTGAGGGATTGCATTCTAGTCAATGAGTTGATGCAATCAACTGGTTTTCCTTAGATAGAAAACTTCGAATGAATGTGACTGTATGATCTGGTTGAACTGTAAAGTGCCTTGAGATGACATGTTGTGAATTGGCGCTATAAAAATAAACTGAATTGAATTGAAAGGGTCAGTGGGCAGAAGATGTCGAAGACCTCAATCTAGCCAGCATGTCTTTCCTTGAGAAAGCCCAGCCTGGGGGCTTTGGGTCGGGTTCCCTCAGCACCAGAGATGAGGAAACCTGCTAGGGTGCACTGAGGTGGTTAAAACACTTCTCATTGGAAAGGCCCTGGCGATGGATGAGATTCACCCTGAGTACCTTACGGCTCAGGATGTTGTAGGGCTGTGTTGATTAGAGCGAATCTGCAATATTTGGTGCAGTTCCCCTGGATTGGTAGACCAGGGTGGTGGTCCATCTATTCAAAAAAGATGGCCCAGAGGGTGTGTTCCAACTACAGAGGAATCACACTCTTAAGCCTCCCTGGTAGGGTCTATTTCGGGGTCCTGGAGAAGAGGGTCCATTGGACTGTCGAAACTTGGATTCAGGAAGGGCAGTCTGGTAGGCAGACTGTCCCCACCAGTCCTGGTCGTGGAAAACTCAGCAGGGTTCTGGAGGGTGCCTGAGAGTTTGCCCAACCAGTCTACATGTGGTTTGTGGACCTGCAAAAGGCATTAGATGCTGTCCCTCGTGGAATCTTGTGGGGGGCACTCTGGGAGTACCAGATTTTTTATACGGTCCGTTAGGTCTCTGTATGAACAGAGTCAGGGCTTGGTCCAGCAATAGGTTGGACTCCTTTCCAGTGAGCTCTGGAGTCCGTCTTGGCCTTTGTTGCCAATTCTGTTCATTACATTTATGGACAGAATTTCAAGGTGTTGACGGAATCCCTTTTGGTGACCTTACAGTCTCTGCTCTTTGTGGATGTTATTGATTCTGTTGGCCTCAGGCCATGATCTACAGCTCTCACTGAAGCGGTTCACTGCCCCGTGTGAAGCGGCAGGGATGAGGATAAGTGCCTTCAAATCCAAGTCCTTTCAACAGGCGGATTGGTTCAGCATCTGCAGTGAAGCAGGCGTTGTACTGGTCTGTTTTGATAAAGGGAGAGCTGAGTTAAAAGGCAAAGCTCTTGATCAACTGGTTGATCTACATTCCTGTCCTCATTCATGGTCATGAGATTTGGGTCATGACTGAAAGAACAAGATCCCGGATACAAGCGGCCAAAATGAGTGTCAGGGCTCTCACTTTGAGAAAGGGTGAGTAGCTCAGTTATCCGGAGAGGGATCATAGTACAGCTGCTTGTCTATGATGAGAGGAGCCAGTTAAGGTTGCTTTGGCATCTGGTTAGGATGCCTCCTGGTCACCTTTCTGGTCAGGAGTTCTGGGCATATCTCTCTGGAAAGAGACCCAGAGGAAGAAACAGGACACGCTGGAGGGAATATATTTCTATGAACACCTTGGGATTTTTTTGGAGGAGCTGGGTCAAGTGGCTGGGGAAAGGGTAATGGTATGGGTATGTCTGGTCCTCCCTACAAAGGCTGCTAGCTCTACAACCCGACCACGGATAAGCTCAAAAGGATTTTCTCTAAGTGTAACCGTCCCATAGAGCCCTTAGAGATGTGTCTGTGTTGAAGCATATAAAGGTTATAGCCTATTTCTCTAAGCTGTCCACCAGAGCCTCCAAACATTCTCTCCCAGACGTAGTCAGATACAAGTGGGTGTAACATTCCCTTTTTTTGCAGCTGTGGCGCCTACGGTTTTATTAGCATTTAGCATTTTCCTGTCAACCACAAATCTCCCCTCGCCTACTTTTCACAATAACTGGTGAGAGTAAAAAAATCTTATATTAATCTGTTGTGCTGAGACCAAAAGTTCCACTTAAGCCGGGAATACACTGTGCGATTTTTTCAATCGTTGCATGACGCTGTTGTGCAACGATTGAGAGCTACGAGCCACAGGGTTTCGTCGTACAGTGTGAGCTGTAGCGTCGTGCAACGATTGAAAAAATCGCACAGTGTACGCCCGGCTTAAGTGGAACCATTGGTCTCAGCACAACAGATTAATATAAGATTTTTTTACTCTCACCAGCCAAACGAGTAGAAGAGGAATATGAAGCTCACTAGAGTTAAACGCTCTGCCTTGGCAATTTATGCTACTTTGTGCTAGTTATGGTGTTTAGGTTGGATGAATGCGACCTGGCTGTTCAGACACAGGTCGCATTTGAAAAGATCAGATTCGCATCGGATTCAGGAACACAGAACCAAGTGGCCTTGGTCACATTTAAAAAAATCAGATCTGTGTTGTTCAGACTGTCATGAAAAGATCAGATCCACTTTGCATATGGACAAAAAAAATCCAATTTGGGTCACTTCAGGCTGATTTGTGAACGTAGCCTTAGTAAATCCCCTATGTTGGTTCCCATATGGCTCTCATGCATGGCTCGTGTTTGTAAAATGAACTCCTTTAGCTCCCAGTCCTCGGTAATGAAATGACATGTGATCGTCACGTATGATTCTGTGGCTCGTAACGTCCACCCATCGCACATAAAGGGCTACTCTTGTTGCTGAACTAAATGAAGTTTTGACACATTCTTTAACTTTTTCTTACTTCTTGGGCAGCACTATTTCAGTAATATAGCGACGGGTTGGGACAACGTAACACGGTTCCAGTGTATTTGCCATATAGCGAAAGCCTCTATTTTCAGCCATGCAGGAAACTGGTAAAGATTCTCAGTTATGAGGAAAATAGGTGGTTTGAGAGGGGCGTGAAGGAAGCAGTCTATGTAAAGAAAGAAAATCCAACCTTTAACAGAGAGGGTGGACTCGGATTTCAGCTTTCAAAAACCTACAAGCGATAGAGTTAATTCCTTCCCGCTATCATCGTAACCCCAACTAATTTACAGGGGATGAGAAGAGCTTGCCTATTCAGCCAGGCCAACAATTCCCTTTAAAGACACCCCTTTAAGAGACATAGACAGGTATGGGGCATTGCAGGCTAACAAAGAAGCCAAATGGGCCCCATTCCAAAGGGGTGGACCCGTTCGTCCGTTTCAGTTTGCATGTTTTCTAAACAAAAACAAGGCTTTGTTGGGCTACTGTATAAAGCTTTGAACTCAACGCTATTCCTGATATTTTGAATTGAAAAACCGTCCTGGATAGGAAGAGAAACGTCTTCAAATTTGGAAACAAAGTCCAGTGGATTGTTTTCTTTTTTTTTTACTTTTTTGGAATAAACATGCAGTAATGACGCAAATCCAGATAAAATGCATCAACGAGTCTCTGATTTTGATGGCTCGGGGTAAGGTATATGGAATCTTATATGTAGTGTTGTTCAGTTCAGTTGCTTCGGGTTTACAGGTTTCTATTGCATCTTTGGCACTGCTAGCTTATCAGCGTGATGCCTCTGTAGGTGAGCCGGCAAGTTGGTTGTGTTTTTTGTATAGTGTACTGCACCATACCAGTGCCGGCATATTGCATTTGTTTTTTCAAGTCCTTGACTCTCTTATTGGCTTTAAAACCAAAATCTGCCCAAACGTCTGATTTCAGGGATAAAGGTGCTTCTAAAATCCTGTCGGCAATTCCGCAAATTTGTCTCATCTGCACTCCCTTGCTGTGAACAGTATTGGCACGCTGTAATACCGCCCCCCTAGGGGTTGGGAGGTATATTGATATTGAAAGCCAGAATATTTATATTAAATTGTTTTTAAAAACATCTATATTAATCTTTATATGGATTTTTTATGCACAGCCCTACTAGTTTACTGCTGAGACCAACTGAAGCTATGCTGTAGCCTGCTCACTGGATGGTATAACACAGAAGTCACGGATCAGCGGACCGAGGTCCGGATCCGGATTCACCTGCTGGCTAATCTGGACCCAACCTGATTTAAAACATTTATAAATTACCACATGTTGTCTGACGATAGTTTCTAACTTCACTTGCGCCGCTTCTCTTCTTAATATGGTAAAGCCCTCCAGAGTGTCCGGCTCCAGGCTGCAGATGATACTAATGATCCAATGAGCTGCTGTCAGTCTGGGTTGCTCCTGCTGCTACTTTTAGACACAGCAGGCAAACCTGTGGCAAGCCGGGCGATGGGAAAGAAGGAGAAGATGATGAGAAAAAGAGAGCAGAGAAAGTGTGGA